ATATATATATATATATATATATATATATTCTTCAAGACTCAAAAGGGTATGACTTATTTAGTAATTCTAGGGATGCAATTCTATCAGCATCAACAAGAATGATAAGTCAAAATCCCTTGGAAGGGATTCAAACACAAGTTGATGATTTCAAGACTATTTTTAGCCATCCAATCAGCTGTGAAGCTGTCGGGCTCCACCTCCTGGTATTGGTAGTGCCAGTGATTTTCTTGATGATGTTTCCATGAGGGGGTGGCTGGTATTGTTAATGTCAAGTTCTAAAGCCAGAAGGAGAGCACCGCATAGGTCCAAAGTTCAGCAAGATCAATGCTACAACTCTCAAGGAACATGCTAAAACCAGCCATCTAGTAGCCATGGATCCAAGTTGATGATGTTTCTCTTTTTTCTAAAAATGTCCATCTCTGTATATTCTTCGAAGACTTTGTTCATGAAATTTTTACACTCATCAGGGCCAGGCAAATTAGTATGGAGACTTTAAAGACTACACTTGTTTTGCTTTGAAGTAGAGCTGGTTTGGTCTCACATAACAGGTCCAAGCATATCTTGGCAAGGCACTATAATCATAATAATAATCGGCTTCTGGATTGCCTACCTGCAACATGGATATCATCTTAGTACATTATGTTCATGTATGCTTGAGATGTATAAGATAAGTACGTGCAGCCTAATGGTGCTGATCAATTTTAGCCTCCAATCCAGTCAAGCATAAACATGGGGGATTATTCTTACCATAAAACCTTTGCGATGATTAACGTATATTTGTATGTCCTTGTGTTGATCATAGACAAACCCTGCTCCACATACTTCCTTCTCTCGTCAAGACAAACCCTACTCCACAAGTTATGGTACATAGTGGCCTGCAATAATAAGGAATGATTTACAGAGCATTTATATAACTATATGTGCAAGTATGAAAGAGAACCCCAAAACTAACTGCCTGCGAAACTCTCTCCTTACATGAAGAAATCTTGGGTTTTGACTGATGGATATCTCCGAACCCAGTTCAATAGGAAATTATGGGCACTGTCGGCTAAGTCCAAGAGAAACTCTCTCTTTTCAAATAAACCCACAAACTTGGTGATAGCAGAAGGCATATTGGTTTAAAACACAACACTAACCAGGGATTCCACAAACAGCAGATTATTGGCTTCTGCAGGAGAAAGTTGAATTCAGCTATATATCAAACTATCAAACAATTCAAATGTCCAGGGTTTCATTTGAACAGATGGTTGAATTGTACAAATGGAAATATCAAAGTAGGTGAAAATGATAGCAAACCTCTATTTCAATCATATTTATTGAAACAAAGGCGAATTCCTTTCTGCCAACTCTAAAGAGGATTCGACTCCACAGCACAGCTGCATTGTACCGTATTAAGGAACCAGCAGGTACTTCAATAGCAAAAGGACAGTTATCAAATTACACCATACCCAAAGCACCAGAAAAATAAAAGGGCTAATTTTTATACCAACTTACATATACATTCATATAACCTCCATTAATCTCATCCTTGTACAATGAAATCCCCAATGGCCAATTCTTCAAGCAAACTTGCTGCCATAAGGTTAGAAAGTCCCACAGCCAACATGGAGAAAACATGGTACCAATGATCAGGTAACCAAATAACAGCCATGACATCCATTAATGACAACATTGGAGAAAAGACCATATTAAATCCTCTAAAATAGAATCTAAAACCACTTAATCTAGGATGGAAAAGTGCAAGCAATTAATTAACAATTTATTGGGACCATGACACAGCAACTAATGGATCACTCTATTTTACTATAAAGAAGTACATTGCACAAATTTAGAGTGCTGCAGCTAGTGCCAAAAATTTAGTGAGATTTGAGTCAGCAACGCTGAATCAGAGTTGAGGCCCAAAAAAAAAAAAAAACACTGAATCATGAGAAGAGTTAAAACATGTCTTACCGTATTAAAAACTTGACAAAACAGGATTGGTACTAGCAAGTTTAAATAAGTTATTAAGTTTAAAAAGTTAATTTAGAATGTGAAAATTAAGAGAATAACAAACCATTGCTCAAGCAGAGATTCTCTTCAATTCTGTTTCGTCATGTAAGTCCCAAAGTAGGTAATTTTGGAAGAGTGAATGTAGCTCTTCCATCCATTGTCTGATTTCCTTCCCCTTTTTTCTATGCTATTACTCTTTACAATCATGAACGTGAAGATCCTGCAACTTTGCAAAGGGAAACAAATTCTTCATTCTTGAACATCTAATAATTGCACAAAATTCTTTAATTAGAAAAAGATGTGAGGGAATGTTGGTACGTACAGGCCATGCGTGAGTCGTTGCTGTTCCTTTCACTTTCACATGATCACACATGAATCACCGTGATTGGTAATTATAAAGGAATTAGCATCCAATTAAGAGAGATAGATATCATATGGAATTTGTTAAAGTAAAATCTAAAAACACACAAATCTTGAAAATTTACGTGTAGAATATGAAGGTAGAGGCAACTGGTATAGAAGAAAGCACAATCTGAAAGCAGGAGGAAAAACGGTGAAGGGCTGCAAAAGTGTGCTTTGGCAGGGAACTTAAGGTGCTCAAGTTAGCCACGAAAGTTTTTAACAAAATCAATAGATCAAATATGAGAGAAATTCATACCTTGGGTCTGCTATGGCCTATGTATAGGTTGAATGGCTATAAGAGTTGAACAATAAGCCAACTATACCAACTCATATATATCCAATTCACATAAAATCCATTAAGTCAGATGCTGAGCGTTAGGGCTCAGCTTCAAAGGAGGAGTATGTAAGAGCCTTGCCACATGGTTCAATAGGTTGTGTGATACAGAGAAAACATAGAACTGACATTTGGATAAACAAATAAGAACCATAATATGAATTGAGGGGCACTTTGGTGAAAAGACAGTATCAAATCCTTTAAAACCACTTAATATTTGGATGAGACAGAATCAACTAATTACCAGTGTAGAGGCAGCTGGCAGGCAAGAAATCACATTAAATCAATCTAAATTCTGCTTACTATTTTGGACTTGAAAATAATTCTTGATCTCCAAGTATGGGTGTGTTGGCTGCAGAAAATCTGGAGGTAAGTCACAGAGACTATCAAGTTAGCCACAAAAGAGTTTAACTAAATTGATAGATAAAATAAATATGAGAGAAATTCATATACTTGTATAAATACTTACCTTGGGTCTGCCGTGGCCAACATATATGTGTGTGTGTGTGTGTGTGTGGGTTCAATTGCCACAAGAGTTGAACAATAATGTGATTAAAGAAATTAAGATGTTGAGGTTGATATAGTTAACAGTCACAAAATATAAAACAAGAAATTTCTCAAATCTGTTTTACTGTTTATTACAACACAAAATAAAACAAATATTACTTAAACAAGCATTAATTAAACAAAGTTCATCCATAGCAAAAAAAAAACAAATTAAAACAAAGATTGCATTAGATTGAAGTGAGGGTGAGTCCCAATTTTTTTGTTTTCCTTAGCTGTATATGTTGCTGAGTTGAAGAAATAGGTTTGAGATGGTAAGAGATGCAGCCTGCACCAACATGTATGGAAAAATTACTTAATTCTAAGGATGCAAATATTAGCCAGCCAAAAAAAAAAAAAGGGAAACAAGGAAAATGTTCAAGAAAACATAAACATATATACCTGGGCTGGGCATTAGAAAGTGGACACAGATTGACCAGATTGATATTCAATTGATGACTCAGGAAATCCATTCAGGTGCTTGCTCCCTATGAATGAATAATTTAAAATGGAATTAGCATCCAATTAAGGGGGATGTACATCTCATCAGATGCAAATCAATAGACATATATACCTCAGCTGAGCTGCGCATTAGAAACTAGTCAATTGATAATTGAAACTCGTAGAGGCAGAAGGAAATGCTAAACAGAACCATATTTAATAGATACCCAAGGGCCGAAGCTGTGAATAATCAAAAAAGGAATTAGTGAGACAAACATCTTATTAGCACATCAGTCAAGATTAGATAATTGAGCAAATAAACGGAGATTAACACTTGATTCATTCAGAAACAAGAGATAGAAACATTTATTTATGAAATACCAGAGAGAAGAGAGAATGGGATGCAAGTGATGGAAAAAGGGAGACTAATGAGACTTACTAGGGCTTATCATATTGGAGGAAAGGTAGGAGGACAATCTTATCGTCAGGATTCTCCCACTCCAACGATTCCCACCATCCTTTTGGATTGAAAATATAGATAGATTTGACAGCAGGAAGAGATGGTTGCACGTTTTTCTTTCCAAGACAAAAGGGAATCCTCTTTACCTCCATACAGGTATTGATCTCGATGCGATTGAGAGATTCACAAACCATTACTCCTCTTTCGGGGCAGATTCTCTTCAATATTGGTACGATATGCAACTCCAATATCCTTAATTTTGGAAGAGTGATCAATATTGTAGTAGTTGTTTGATTTCCTTCCTCTTCTTCTTCCCATCCTATTATTTCCTCCATCTCACAACAATTTTTCACCTGAATCAGCTCCAAGTTTTGGAGGCCCTGACCCTGCAGCAGCTCACATGGAAAAAGCTTCTTCAATTTTAAACAATTGCATACCCTCAGCTGTTTAAGATTAGAAAAGATGTGAAGGGATATTGTTGGTGCAAGCGATGCTCTTGCTTTTTCCACTTTCACAACATCCCGCAAGCTACACAAATGCTCAAGAGTTAGTACTTTAAGGTTATTCATAACTGTCAAGGAAGTAGATGAAGATGATGACAAAGAGACCACACACTCTATCCCTTGGCAGTATTTCAAAGCATATGTTTGCAATTGAGTCAAATTTTTCTGAAAAATAGAAATATCACCGATCGTATTGCAGTCTTCAATCCTCAAATCCTGAAGGTCATCTGGAAGGACCAACTCATCTTCTTCTCCAATCTCGCATCTGAATAAACTTACCCGTTTAGGAAGATCATTATTGTTGAACTTCCAAAAGGGTTCAACTTGCTGATCTATGTCTCTACCTCCCACTTTGATAGAGTAATGACTAGGTCTTCCAAAAGGGTTCAACTTGCTAACAAAACTGCCGAAGTCTTTCAGCCAATCAAATCTACCTTCAAACCATTCCAGCATCGTCAATCCCGCTACTTCTTCTCCTCTCATGTCAGTTGGTAAAATCCGACGTTTACGTAAGACTTGGAGGTGAGAAAGCTTACTGATTTTTCCTTCTGGTAGCACCCTCAGGTTTGGACAAAATAAATCAAGATATTCTAGATTTTCTAACATTTCAATGCCTTCAGGAGCCTCACGAAGTCCTGCTTTATTCAAATCCAACTTCTTCAGTGCTTTAAGCTTTGACAAGGAAGGCATGTGTTGTAAAAGCACACATCGACAGAGGATCAGTGCAGTGAGATGTTCCAAGTTACATATGGAATTAGGTAGAACCTCAATGCCAGTACTAGAAAGATCAAGAAACTTCAGCTGGGGCATGTTAGCAAAAAAACACTCTGAAATTTGTCTCAATCCTTCATTACCCTCCAAAATCAAGGTTGAGAGCTTCGAGCATTTGGGGGACATATTTTGAGGGATATATGATATTACATTTTCCATGAGGGAGACCTTGTCTAGATCTTCATTCCATTCATCCTCATCTGGTATCTTTGTCAATCTCATTCCAGCTTTTACCATAAACCTACGAGGATCCGTGCTCTTAATGCGCAATGCCATGTCCCTCACAACATCATGCATCTTAACACAGGCCTTATCATAGGCTTCCTCTAACAAACAACAGTTTAAAAGCCTCTTTAAAATAGCATTTCCTTTATCATGCATTTCTCTTCTGCTTTCTAATTTTCCAACAATTCCCTCACAAATCCAGTTTTCAATTAGATCTATTCTTCTAATATTCCAATCTTCCGGATACAATGAGCAATATAAGAAACACTCTTGGTCTTGGATGCTTGAATTTTTTGGTAGACGATCATAACTAAACTTCAAACGATTAAATATCTCATCTTCTGAATCTTTCTCTGTGTCCACCACACATTGACGCAATTCACGTAATGCATTTCTCCACTCAGAAATATCTTGTACTCCTCTCATGCTCCCTGCAATGACAACAATGGCCAATGGCAAACCAGCGCATTCAGCCACCATAAGCTTCAAAATCTCTTCCAAATTGGGAATTCGTAGAACTTCTCTCCCAACCTTATCTAAAAACAAGTTCAAAGACTCTTGCTCTGGTAGAGAAGGCACTTTAACTACCTGACATTTCAAGTAGTTGCATACATCAATCGATCTGCTAGTAATAACAATTTTACACCCATTTTCCATTGTTGGTTCTGGGATTCCAATGCTGTGAAGAGTAAATTTATCCCAGACATCATCTAAGATTAGTGCATATTTAACTTTTTTCATAGCCTTCATCAGTCTTGATGCCCGGTTCAATTCATCCCCCCAATCTGAAGGATTTTTGCCCATTGCCCTAGCAATGTCATCTTGCAATCTGAAAACATTGAGAGGATGTGATACTGTAACCCAGACAACCTTC